AGGGATTTCAAAAACAAATAAGTGAAAGGATTTGCATTTGCTTGACTCTGCTGAGCCCCGATTACTCAAAGATTCAATGTTCAGCCCCTCCAGGCATCCAAATGTGATCCCCAGATCATGGAGCCACCCAGATTACTGCTCCTCCTGGAAAAAAAAAAACTTAACAAAATTGCAGCAGGTTCATTCTGGCAGTTACACAGAAACACATCAGTAACATTTTGGGGTCAGAAGAGAGGTGAAGTGGTTGCATCCCCCCCAAACTCTCCCCACGCTTCCCCAGGCGGTTGTCAAGGTCTGAAAGCTGCTGCAAAGCATTTCAGCTGGGACAAACAGGCATTTTTTTTCCCACTGAGAGGCTGCTGCTCTCCCTATTCCCGTCTATCTGTGTTTCTCATTGCGTTTGCTAATGCCAGGAGCGGGCTCTGCCCGTGCTCACCAGTTCCAGCCCCACGGGGTCTCGAATGCGGGAACTCCACGGCAACAACTGCAAACTGACAAACTACGGGATATCAAAGGCTCTGACACCATCCAAAGCCACACTCAGCATTAACTCCTCAGTGTCTCTATTATGGCAATTATTCAGATTGAGGGAGAAAGTGGAGTTTTTTCGATTTAAATTGAAGTATACTGGGGTTTTAGGATATGCGACTCGCAGGGTGCTTGTGCTGGGCTTGCTGGTGGTGTTGTTCCAGCAAATTTACAGTTCGTCCCTCCTGCCACACTGTAAAGGGGGGGGTGAGTGGAAAGGATTGCAGCAGGACAAACAGTTAATCACCCAACAACCAGGAAATTGTATTTTTGTAGTACACTAGTGAGTCACATTTACTCAAATCAGGGCATGACTCCAAAATCGAGACTAGGTCAAGAGCAAGTCACCCTTGCATCCCGCAGCAGGCTGTCCAGGGTAATGGAAGGGCTTATTTTACTGTGTCTCTAATCCTGGAAACTCAGTTTAAACTCTGAATGAGCAATGGTGCTCCCGAACATGCAGGTCTTCAACAGTAGTATTTACAAAAAATTGATTTCATTTTTTTTTTAACCAACTTTTTATGGCTTAATAATACTTTTTGGCAATAGGTTGTAGGTGTAGAAATATATCACAACACAAATTCCTGCCCCAAACTGCTTTTCAGCCTAATATGTACAAACTTCTGTGTCAGCTGCCACTATTCTCTCTTATCCAACCATCAAACTTTGTGATGTTTTATTTTTAACCTGTGATAAGTGTTAGCTAGTGTCTAAAATCAGTGTCAGTCAGTTTAGCAACATCTTCCAGTCTGTGCTGCAGAAATGTCCCATTATTGTCATTATATCTTTTTGTTCCTTAAACATCCAATGTATGTATTCATATTCCATAGTTAGGAGGAAGTACAATCATTCCCTTATTGCATTTTTTATTAATTTCCAGTATGAATTACTTTTTGTGATCAAGAGAGAAATATGTGACTTCATTCAAAGTATTTGCCTCTCTTATTTCTCAGTTTGTTATCTTACCCATGCTGCAAGGAGTTCCTTACTGTTTTGTTATGAGAAGTTAAATAGTAATACCTGATTTCACAGCCCAAGCTTGTTCACTACTTACTGTGTTTTATCATGTCCTTCCTTCTCTCTGACCCCTTTTTGCTCATGCTTTTCAACCTCACTTCAGCTTTAGGGTCTGGGTCTCGCAGACATTTACCCACTCAGACATTCCCACTGGGTCAATGGGACTCCTCAGATGTGCAAAGTAACTCAAGTACTTGAGCATTTGGAGAGCAGGACCTGAAGCTGCAGTGATTTCGGTGTACACCAACCAAGTAGGCTCCAGAAAAGCTTTTGTGAGCCACAATGATTTCAACGTGCTAAAATTTACAAAATGCAAGGCAGATGTGTGCTGATTGGGAAAAACATGTTGGCTACAAGATGAGAAAGCTACGATAACTTCTGACCCTCCTTTTGATGCTCTCCACGCAAAGCTGCACCACCAAAGGGTCGCCTGATGTAAACCAATAAATAAGCAGGGAGGCAGAATGCAATTAGGCAGCATTCAGCAATGGTGTGAATAAAGCCTGTTTTCAGCCTGCTGGAAGCTGTAGCAAGGCTGTTTGTGTAACAGCCTCCCTGTTGCCCAGAAACAGCACATGAGACTACTGAGTGCCTGCAGAAACTCAGATCTGGATTGTTTGACTTGGATGTGCAGGAAAATTGACTTTTAAATGTTACTTCAGCTTTGAGTCAGTGCTTACCCTTGTACTTTTACAAGTTTTGCCTGGAAATGGGATGTTAATTGTTGTTAACGAGTCTGTCCACCTGAGTAAGCTCTGCAGGGCAGAACTCACAGAACATAATTCCTCCACAGTGTCTCCAGAGTCCGCCCTGCTGACCCTGGTGTCTTTTGCATTTAAGAGCAATGGTACCAAATCTTCTCCTTCAGACCTCAGAGCTTTCTTTTCAATCCAAGACAGTAGCCAATTTCTGTTCCTTTCTCAGTCCCAGTCCCATGGGATTTCTGGAGTGGAGTAATGACAAGGTTCAGTCTTACCAACACCTTTGGCACAGGGAGAGGACACTGATGGGTACAGGGCTATGACATACTGAATAGGAAAAGGAGAGTTTCCATGATGAGCTGGAGCTCTCTATACCTGTATAGTTTAATCTGTGGTGTAGCTGTGAGTAAGGGTATACCAAGCTACTTTATCTTGATGGCATTTTATTTCGTGCATTGGCAACTTCTGTTCCACTTGCTGCAGTTAAATTTTCATTGACCTTCCTTCTACACAGTACCTTAGGACCAATTGTTAAGGCATTTCTTTTGCAATCCATCAACCATGCTTACCTGTGGGGGAAGTTTCATAGTAGCTCCCCGTGGGGCTCACATAAAAAGAATTATATTCCTGTTTGAGATACAGAGAAGACAAAGCCTGAGCAGTTTGAAAATTAGGGAAGTTTTGTATTTTGCTTTTGTGGGTTCTGGCAGATTCACATGGAAAAAAACAACTTTGAGACTGAAGTTTTGGTGTCATAGCTGATTACCCCTTTGTCTGCCTCTAGCTCACCAAGCTTCTTGAGGAAAGTACAAAATCAAAATTAATGCACACGGCATTATTCCCCAAATGACTCCAGCTGGCTATCCAAAGTCACCACATGGCCGTATTATGCCATGAGTTTCTTAATCTCATCCTTCACTAGAAGAGCCAAATAACAGGAGGGGCTTTTCATCCAGCAGTAAATGTCACTGGGGCTTCTCTGCTTAAGGCCAAGAGGGGCTAATGAGCTCAGAAGGGCTAACAAGCACAGAGACAGGAGCCCTCTTGGAAAATCCCGTGAGCAGCTGTTCAGCCAGGGGGGCATTGGCTCCAGAGATCAAAGCTGGCAGGGCATCCCATGAGGAGAAGGGCAGTGATTCAGCCAACCACCCTTATGGTCATCAACCTCTACAGAGGACACCTGCCCATACTGCCTGTGCTCTGGGAAACAATTCAACTGGACAACATTGCATTCCCCACCCAGAGATATTCTTTTGGTGTTATTCTAGATCAAATCTTCCACTCTGGGCACAGTGTCCTTATGTATATGTGTTTCCAAACTCATTTCTTCAAGAAATCAAAGTTTTGCTGATGGTAGTCAGGTCTGCCCGTGCTTGGTCTCATGGAGCATCATGTTCCCAAGTCTGACATCTTCATCTCACTGGTGGAGCAGTTACTTCAGCTCAGTCATCCTTAAGAGCTGGAGACTGAGATGTCTTTCCATTGACCTTCTGTATCATCTTCACTATGCTGCTCCCTCCTTTTGGTATGGGATTTATCTTCTTATTCTCTAGGCATTTCTAGGCTGTTAGTCCTCAGCTCCACTGGATGCCAGGACCTCTTTCCAGGCTAAGTGTGGTTTGCAGCCTGTTATGGCCCAGGGATGTGCTGCTCTTTTTGGCCACACCCAAATAGACCTCAAATATAAAAAAAATAAAACAGAGGGGGGGAAAAAATCCAAACCCTCATGCTTTACACTGAAGAAATATCACATTGCATGTTGTTGACACTCCAGTTAAAATCACCTGGCTTATTGCTGTTTCTGCAGGTAACTCCTGCTCAGAATTCATTTGTGCATTGCCCAGAGCTGGTGGCCTCAGACACACACACAGGCTCAGTGTCACTTGGCCTCTTTTTAGCTCATTTGACATGGTCTTGGCAAAATAAAAAGACAGTTGAAAGGCACCTCTACCTCCTGTCACTGTTGCTATTAAAGGAGATGTTCTGTACAGTGTCCAGCTCACATTTTAAAGCTTTTAAAATGTTCTTTGTCATTACAGTGCTACTGTTTGGTTCAAAACAAATTCAGCCAAATAGGGACTTAAAAATGTAATAGACAAGAGTCCCATTTTGTAAAGAAAACATGATAGAGCTGAAAAATAATTGTCACTTTTATAAAGTAGTATGCTTTTCATAGAGAAATAATGTGTATTTACTTGCAAATCAGAGTTGCAGTAGTGGTAATTCATATTATTACTTGCACTGAAATGCAAAAATTCCTATTTAAAACTGCAACTCAAATGTCTGAAGACTTTTTTAAAAATTCTGACCAAAATTATTCATGTTATTAACTTCAAAAGAATAGAAGTTTTGAATCTTGGATAGCAAAGACAGTTTTCCAGGAAAAAAAATAAAAATATAAGATCTATTGCAATATCTGTTTATGATCAGATTTTATTCCTATAGTAATGATGAGTCTATTACTCCTGTCTTCACTGGGACCAAAATCTAAAAGCAACCCTAAAACCCCAGAACTTATAACATCTGTTCCTGTGAATGGAAATCTTTTCTCTGCAGAGGTTTTGTAGATCAGACTGGAATTCTTTTCAACTTAAACTCATTTAACTACCTCATAGTTAAGGAATAGCTTCTCAAATATGCTTTTTAATGGCACACAGACGTTATGTATTTTATATTTACATTTATATTTATTTATATTTTTAGGTATTTAGATATGTAAAGTATAAAAGCAATCTTTGGAACAAGCAATGTAGAAATGGTCACAGTAAAGGTTCACATGTTGAACTGTTGAATGGAGTAGTTGTTTTGTGTCTTACTTCCGTACTAATGTTATTCCTGTGGAAGATAAAAATATTTCATTATTCTTATAAAAGGCAAGCCTAGCCTAGGTTAGTAAAAGTTACATGAAAGTTACAAAACTACAACCTGAGAAAGGATAATTCTATGTTCACATGATTTTTAATAAGCAGGAAAAAAATTAAAATGCACCCAAGTTTTATACAGTCTTATGTTAATTACCAGAAATGTGACATTGTCAGCTGTAGAGTTTATTCCTACCTGTAATAGCTAACAATATTATCTATAACATATGCAGTACTATACTATGTAAAAATATAATTAAAAATTAGTAATATAAAAACATCTACCTGAAAAATATTTATATATATTTGTCTCAATAGGGTTTTTTTCTAAAGTGTATTATTGATCTATTATTTATAATTCTATTATTATAATATTATTATATTTGAATATTATTATAAATTTATTATTAATAATTATAATAATATGGTATTATAATATAATATACATACTTTATAAAGTATATACAAATATATACTTTATTAATATAAAGTAACTGCACAATTGCATTTAAATTACATATTTTAAAATATTTTTCAATATTTTTCAATATTCAATAATTATATTTTATAAATATTTTAACATATATTTTTTGTATTGTTAATGCCCACTTCAGTATTGGGGAATAGGTTAATTTTTTTTAATGGTTTATGCTTACTATATGCTTCCATGTCTAGGTCATACAGCATTATTTTTTTTTCCATAAAATTCTGTAATTCTAGGAAGGAATCTTTATTTTGTGACATAACGTTACATTTACTGAATATATGTGTTGTTCTATATGGGCTGGCATAGTCTGATTGTATGTCACGTGGATGTTTCCTGCAATTTGTGTATAAGAAAAATACATTCCCCACAACTATAACCTTTTTCAGATTTTTTTTTAAATTTATTACAAATTATTTCCACATTATGGAAAAATACACACACATTTTTCTAGTCTTCCATACTGACACAGATAAAGAAAGTTTTAACAGAAGACAAAACAAATCAGGGAAGGTTAATTTAAAAATGAAGAGGATCAATGTTTGTCTTTTACTTTCTTTATGTAAGTTTAAAAAAAGTCAGAAACTATTTTAAAAATTGTTATAAATGGTGTTTCTACCCCTGGAAAAATGAAAACAATTATACACAGAGCTCTTACTTCCAATTTTTTTTTCTCTGTGTTGTTTCCTTTTTACATTCTTGTGCAGAACTTCATCAATAAATTCAGAAGCATCACAAGTTTTCCGTTCTGAAAAAGAAAATTCATCCTTCATTCTTAGTAGATTATTTAAGATCTGTTGCCTTCTATCCCTCCATTCTAAGGAGATTCATAAATTCAGCATTTCCAGCTAATAACAAGAATTGAAAATCCTCTGGCTCATCTTTGGTCCAAAGGCCAGTAATCACCTTAAAAGAAAAATCCTAAAAATTGAAACTTTCAGTAGAAACAAACAACAAAGCTTTTGGTTAAATAATGGCTTTACCAAACAGTGGATTTGTCCTTCCTCTTTGAGGTCAGTTACAATCATGGCCGTGTTCGTATTTTATTCCCATTCCCAGTACTCTGGACCACTCTGCCCGGATTTTATCTGATGTCATTTTAAGCTTGACCAGTATGAGGTGAATATCGATGTAAATAAATTCAAGGGCAAAAGCATGGGGCAGTGACATGTCCGCAAAACAAAAAATAAGACTCTACAACAGCTGTGTGGTATCAGTTTTGCTCGATGCTGCAAAGACCTGGGGCATTACGCAAGCTGACAAGAAAAGATTTGATGCATTTGATAGCAGGTGTTTAGGAGGGATCAGTAATGTCAAGTGGCATCACTGTGTCGGGAACATCGAGTTTCAGGAGAGAACAAGAAAGGAGAAGATTGTGGACTTCCTAACAAGGCACTGACTTCAATGGTCCAACCATCTCATGAGCGTGGAGTGAGGTTGAATGGTAGGAAAAGGTCTTGTGAGCTGGATTTGCTTCTCTTGGCTTCCCAGCCCATCCTGAAGCACATCAAAAGGTTGGGGAAGACAGTAGAAATCTCTTCTAGATTTTGACTTAACCTGTCTACTAAGGATGGAAAAGCCTTCGGGCAAGGACTGTTGTTTTACTTCTCCAGGATGGAGGATGTGGTCAGTACTCACATCCTGGAGGGAGAGGCAAGGAGGGAAAGAGGTGATTGGGAAAATGAAAATAAAAGACATTTTTTTTCAAGACACTGCTCTCCAGCAGGAATATTCACATTAATCACGGATTTCCAAACCAGGCCCCTAGGGTTTTGTAATGTAAACTTAGACTGTGTAGACAAAATGGGGTTTAACAAACTCTGCAAAGCCAAAATCTACAGCAGTAGGATCAGTCAACTCCAATGAACTCTCACAGTTGCAAGAGCATAAAGGTCCTCTGTTGTTCACATTTTCTCTCAAAAACTGCCTTTCTGTATGTAGCTGAAGAGCATCTCTGAGTAAAACATAGCCCAAAGAAGATAACTTAAAACAGATGGGAGCAAGAAATACTAAAGCCAGGCCATATGTGTAGAGTGGACCTGTTTGAAGCAAGTGCAGCCAAAGTGGGTTACGATGTAGTAATGTGTGAAAGAGGTTGCACTATTATATGGGCTATCTGTAAGTGGAATTTTTTTGTGATTGAATCAAGAAAAGGAAACGTACTCTATCCAAATGTTAATGAGAACCATACTTCAAAAATATCCATGTTGAGTTCTTGTATCAAATAATGTCAAAAATAACTCGCCGTCCAAACTAGGATCTTACCTTTTTGTTATTTATTTTTAGAATTCTTACTGAGGTTTTAAATTCTCTCCTTAAATCTGCAGCTGATGAAGTTTAATTTTTTTTTTTATTTGCAATGTCTTTAAGCTTCAGAAAAAGTAGCTAGTAACTACAATGAGCCATTAAGGTAAAACAATCAGATCTCTGTTAGAGGTAGACATATATCTTGGATTTTGAGCAAAAACGTTTTACTTTGCTTTTTCATGAACAGTTCAGGATAGCCTTCCAAAAATAGACACAATTAAAATATAATACTTCCAGTGGTAAAAATGTCATTTCTCTGCAATATTCCATGCTGCACTTTAAAAGCCAGCACAGGAACACTAATCAGTGATTCCACAAACAGAATCTATTATAAAATTTATTTTAAAAAAACCTAATACTTACTCCAAGCTATTTTCAGTTGAAATAGTGGCTCTAGCATTGAGTAAGAGAAAATGAAAATATTTTTTCAGGCAGCTAACTGGCCTATCAAACATCCAGCATTCAGAAGATCTCATGACAGAGCAAACACTCACAGGGGTGTGAGGACAGCACTGCATTTCAGCAGGACCACAGCGTGCCAGGGAGACCTGGTTAACAGCAATGACATTTAGTGAATTACTGCAGAAAACTGATAAGGGCATGATCCTTTTTTATGCTGAAGATCATGCATAATGCCTGCTGTGCCTCAGTACCTTTTCATAAATATAGAATGAAAGCTCATGGCAATATGCTGACAGATGCCATGGAGCAAGTAGTAACTCCCTCCACCCCAGGCGACCGCGTTCCCGTGGTCGGTTGGTACCTGACAGCTTGTGGTGCAATGATGTTGCTGATTATCCACCCTGCATAGCTCAGGAGGTGATGCAGCGACCGTGCAGGACAGAAAGTTGGATAAAGTGCTGAGTTTTGAACGATGAGATTAACTCTTACTGTGTTATGGTTGGGCTCTGACAAAAACGAAACAAGCTCTTGCTTAGATAGTGTGCAATCCCATGCTACGTGTAACTGTGTGTGCACACAAATTTACAGAGAGTGCTACAGAGACAGTGTACTAAAGCTGATTTAGAGAAATTTAAAAAACAATCTTTGGCACCAGGAGATAATTACTATTAAAATATATCTTCCATGTATGTCTAGTGAGGGACTACATCCGAAACAAGAATTGAGAGAAGCTCTTTTCTTACATGGCAAGATAAGATCTTCTTACATGGATCCTGACCCAGGTCATTTGAGGCCTTTTCCACCAAAGACCCTGGAGACAGGACTCCAACCAATGGCAACTAAATAATGGCACGTGATTAATGCAGGGATGGACAATGGCATGTGGATAATCTTCCAAAGAAAGTACATGGATCCCGTGCTGAAAGATGGGATGGGAAGGGTACCACCACCTTCCTGTTGTGTGCCAGCCCCAGAGGATCTGAGAGTTTCAAGATCTAACAGATAATTATCTAAAGGACTGTCCGACTGAAGGTAATGCTTTTCTCTTTCAGTGACCTCATGTTCTGGTCACACCAGTGTTTGTCCTTGGCACTTTGGCTAAGTTGGTGTGGCGGGGTTGGGCTGTAAGGTTCAACAGCAGAGCCCCTTACCAGGGGAACATGTAGCACTGCAGAGAGGTATCACTTCATCACACCTCCACCTCCAGGCTTTTCAATGGGAAGAGCACATACACGGAGGCATCAAGGTTAAATACACTTTTTTCTATACTATTTAATAATGATGGCAGTTGTCTCATATTTAACCTGAATGTCCTGGAGAAAGTTCATGATTATGGCTTGTAGATGATATCCTAAACATTTTTTCCTTAAGAAAAATTATCTGAATCTTCTCCCTTTTAGTCAGGCTAAAGCCTTCTCTCCAAATTCTAGGAAGCAAAAGGCCAAATCATTGTGCTAGTGGAAGTAGCATCATGATCTGGGTATATTCAAGATGTGCGTTCAGGGGTGGAGTGTGCCAATAAAAAAACAAGTGGTGACTGTTTGCAGTTTTGTAATTTTAGCATGTTGTTCATGTAATTTACTGTTATCCTATTTGAAAATTACGATAAATGTAGTGCTGTGCAATTGTCTCATGCCATAGCCTCTGTTTTTCCTTACCACTCTTCTTCTCCAAACGTTCCTGGGAGGGCAAGGGCAAGAGTACCTCCGGGATTAAGAAAACAGTCCTGACTGTGCTTTTACACAGAATGACAGCAGCCCTTTCTGGGAAATGATTACACAGCATTTGTTACAGAAGAGGCAACGCACCATTTTGTTTGGTTTTTTGTGGTATTCCAGATCACAGGATGAATGTAGCGAGGCAGACTAAGTGTAGTGTTAAGTGCTAGAGTTTCAAGTTAAGGTGCAATTGTGTAAGTGAGAAAGTCTGAGTATACTGTCCACAGCCAGCTGTTTCCCTCTGTTTGGGAAGGACTCTCTATGGACCAGGGCATAAGTGCCAATGTCTCAAATCAGCAAATGGCATCGTTCACAGCTAAAGATTTTTGTGGAAAAAGGTTTTGTGGAGGCAAAAAAGATTTTTAGAAGAAGAGTGTGGGTCTCCTCTGTGTCTCTGTGTTCATGAACTTGACAGAAGTTAAGGAAGAAAAAGACTAACATATTTATCTAACATAACTTATGTAACTAATAACTTCTTTTGTTAAAATTATACTGTTTTGTCAAAATGAAAATCTTTCTGACAATTCTAACTTGTTTACAGAGATTATAGGAAACTTTCAAATCTCTTATCTATTGTGATAGAAAGATGAAAAAAAAAACAGATTGCCAAAACATTTCAGCTATATTTAAATAGGGACAACTCAGGTGATGGGCAGTAGAGGTAGGAGTTTCTTCCAAGTTGGAATTTCTAAACATATTCTTTTAATTCTGACTGAGAATAGAAACAGAATATGATATATCAGAATTTTCCATGGGATAGAAGCTCCAGTTTTGGCTCCGTACTGGGATAGAAATTAAGATGAAAAGTTACAGTAAAACAGAATGTAAACACTTGTAAAGGATAAATCCAGGCACTTCAGGCCTGAAGTAATTTGTAGGTACAAGGGGAAACCATAGAAGTGCTCAGGTCTCTTTCAAGGGTGCATGTCCAAGAGGATGCCACTTTTTCCTCTAGTACTAATTGGCCCTGCAGTTGACTCAGAGGGACCATGGTGATGCTTTGCTACTGCATTTTCAGAGAGCACCTGTGAACATAAATTCCATGGGATTTACAGAAAACAACTAAAATTATCAGTTCTCATGCATACAATGTGCTCAGGTAAAGAAAGAGCTGATCCATTGTAGCTGATGGCATTTCAGTGGTGAAGAAACAAACCCGTGTGTATAAATCATCCAAACAATACCTGGCTTACCATCAAAGGTGGGTGAGGAGGGGACAGGAAGGGTGAGGTTGGCAACATTAGCCACCAGGCTAACTTTTGAAGGTCTGAAAGGGGGAGTTTCCTTTGTTCCAAAGAAAAATCTGGCTGATCATGGCAGCTCTTACGAATTTACAGTAGGTGAAGGTTCACGGCTCCCTCGCACCAACAAGAGTTTTAATCAAGTTTATCAACAGAGAAAACACGGTTATTCCTTTGCACTGTGGGCTCTGTTGGCACCCAATGGTGGTGTGGCAGTGGTCAGTTGGATAGTTTCTTTGTTTGCCCAACACACTAGTGCTTGCTGGCAAAGAAAGCCATGTGCATGGACATGCTCTACAACCAAGTTCACAGAATCACAGAATGATTTGGGTTGGAAGGGACCTTAAAGACCACCTACTTTAACCCCCTTGTCACTGAAAGGGACATCTTCCACCAGATTGCTTTGCTCAAAGCCCCATCCAACCCAGCCTTGAACACTTCCAGGGAGATCACTGGAACTAAATACTGCTTTCTCATTTGTCCTGGTCATTAGAGACTGTCCCAGAGAAGCTTATGGTTTGAGCTTGCAGTTCATCTTCCATGTTCATGTACTGCTGTTTGGCATATGGTAGGCACAGAAACCTTGCTCTTTCCCTTCTGGCTACCCTAACCACATTGAGTTTTCGCTGCTTAGAAATTAATCATCCTAATCTGTGTTCAAACAAAACCTCTATTTTTCAAGTTTGAAAGCTTTTCAGTCTTTTTCGGGACACTCACCATAGGAGTGGAAGTATGCCCCTCTACCTCCAAGCTGTTGACAGTCTGGAGTCCTTCTTGTGTATATTTTGGACCTTTTCACACTGAATAATTCTACTTCTCTTTCCATGAGACATTTCTATTACAGACCTGATCCTCTTCACCTTCAAAGCAAAACTTGAGGGAAAACAGTAGTTTCAGATGAGTCTATACAAAAAGAGTCATATTATTTTCTGACATGTCTTTTTTCATGTTGGTTTTCACTGAAACACTGTGCATAGTTTTCAGTTCATTGTAATTGATGGCACTGTGATGAGATACCCTGTTTATAGCAGGAATGACTTGCATGGCACATGGTTTTGTTCCTTGAACACACACTTCTGCTCAAAAAAAAAGTCTTCCAGGGTCAAAGCTTCAATGCTCCTAGTCAGGAGCTTAGCTGGTCTCCTTGCTGTTCCATCTGAATGCCAAACAAACTCTATGGAACATATATATTCTACAGACAGCAAGTGGGACCTGTAATTAGCCGGGTCTTTATTGTCTTTCAAACACAGAGAGAAACCAAATCTTGTATTCAAATCCGTATTGCAAAAACACAACAGGTACCTAAGTCTGTGGTCCCACGGGAGAAAGGATTACCAGCCTGCAGGACTGTAAAATACCAGGTTCAAAATAAAGGTTGACTGTCCTGAGGATTCACAGCCTAAATAGTTCAGCACTAGTAGAGGGGGGTGTTGTTTTTAGTGAAATCCAAGGTGGCAGCATCCTTGGAACGCGGCTCTTGTTTGTACAACAGAGCTTTTACACCCTACGTTTGCACGGCTCAGCTTCTCCCCTTAAGCTTTTAAGACCTCGACCCGCTTTGCAGTGATTTAAAGGGCATCAGTGATTTTACTCACTAAGTGTCTTCTGCCTTGTGAAGCAAATGCCACATGAAGTGTGCAAGCGCCTGTCTGCGACGCGGGTAAGGAACACACCACAGAGGGGGGAGAGGTTTTTGTCAGATGAATGCTGGGCTGGGCACATAACAAGTGGTATGAATTATGCAGGCAGCCAAAGGAGTGCCACGAGAGCCGTGCTGCCCCGTCACACCCTCTGCTTATACCCCTTCCCTTATGGACAGGGCTATTTTGGGAGTGTTTAGGAGAGCTGAAAAATATTTAATTAGGACTACTTTTTTACCATCCTGTTAATAAACAAAGGGGCCTTAATAGTTTTGGTCTATCACATGCCTTCATTCTGACCAAAAATAGGTTACTCTGTTCATAAGAACATTACAACTGTAAATTCTGATAACTTGAGAGCCAGGAATGAGCATCGATATCTAAAAATGTCCCTTTTCTACAGCACTGAGAGGCGAGGGCTAAATCTGGATATGAAGCTATGGCATTTTTTACTATAAACACATGCTGTCAATGACTGAGTACTTTGATCTGCTAGACCATGAGCCAGAGCAGATTTGTAAGGAAATATTCCAATGACAAAGCACTGGGGAGGGAGGAAGAGACAGAGCTTAACTTGGAGCCTTTATGTTGCCAGATCCAGAAATTAGTGGATAGATTTCAGATGAAGCTAGGAAAGAATGTGTGCTGAACACGCTTATCACAGCCTACCTAAGAGATGTGCTTTTTTTGTATTATTCACCCCTCCCAACAATGTATTTATTTATTAGTGTAAATATATCTATACATGAAAACATGTGCAATGCCCTCCTGCCTGCATTGTCAGTACTGGCATGCAAACAATATCTCAAAGATTTATAAATAAATACATATCTGATTGTGTTTTATCTACTAGATCTCAGAGGGAAACCATCTCTACCAAGGCCAACACCGTTAGCACAGTGGCACAATGGCACCCTCTGTTGCCCTTCGTGATTCCTTTGGTGGCTGCTCCCACGTGGATGTATTAACTTCTGAAAACATCTGTGCATCGTCTTCCCCAAATCCGACCTCTTCCTGCCTAACTTCCTTGTTTGTTCGGAGTTATCCTCTGTTATTTCCCTTCATAATAAAATCCACTTTGCTCTTCGAGTCTACACTGGCGGTAGGTGGCAAACTGTGAGGTTTAATGAGCTTTAAGAGGAAGCTGGAACAGCCTGGATTCCCATACTCATTTCAAAAATAGCAACCTTCTGTCCCTGTTTTGCCCTCCTTAACACAGCTAATGACATCTTCTTGCAACAGTTGTATTAAACACTGAGCTCAGTCCTGCAAAATAGTGATCATTTCTGGGAGATGCTGTGTGAGACAGGGCACTCAGCACTTCCTGGAAAGTGATTAGTCCTAATGAGATTGGGTTGTCCAACTCTCATGCCACTAATTAAATCACAGCTTTTCTTTTTCTAAGTTACACAAAAGCTTGATTCATGAATTAAAATACATAGTGGATCTGATTGTAAGTCTGATCCTCTGTGTGTTCATAATTAAACAACTGGCTCCTTTTATGGGGGCAGGGTGAGTTTTCACTCCCAATCATTTTCACTTACATCCATGTGACTACACTTTAATTGCTCATTAATACAGGCAGACTTAATGGGATGACACACAACCACCTTGTTCTTGCCAGACTTCCCTAATGATGACATTTTTGAACTGTAAGGTCACCGGACATTTCTCATACTCAGTCAGCTTTTTCTGTTGTCTCTGCCATGTTGCTAAGGATAATAAAACGATCTTGCTGTAAATTTATAATTAAGGACAGATTTTACCGTGATGGCATAAGAAGAATTAGACATATACTCTCCATTGTTACTGATAAGACTGTCTGAAAAAATGATCAAATGCTTTATTTACAAGTGATCACTTAGAAATTATCACTAAATCATCAAATATTGTCAACATCAGCAGATTTTCATAAATAAAAATGTATTTTCTTCAGCAGGTGTTTTTTATATAAAAATTTTCAAACTGAAAGTCTTTAAATCTTTGTATAAAGAGGAGGTGAAGAAAAATTCAGGCAGAAAGCAAAAAGCTGACATAAAAATCATTTTGGATTTTGCATGTATATAGGAATTTTTCAAAATCTGTGCCACATTCACTTGCTTGGATACAAAGAAGATGTTATCAAGAAGTCAAACTGAGTTCTATCCCAGGCCTCATAAAAACAAACATGTTTGACAGTTGTGGGAAAGAAGGGGGTTCAATCTGTATCTATTGTTCATGCAGAAATATCCCATTTCAGAAGTTAAATTACTTGTAATGATTCCATGTTAATTTGTTATTTGAGTCCCCTGCAGTTCCACTTTCCCCAGATAGAGCCGGATGATAGGAGATGGTAAGGACATTGCCTAAGCTTTTTTGGCTTAGTGCATATCTGTGCTGAAACAAGTTCTGATTGCTGCTGACCTAGATATGCATTTTATTCTCTTTTAAAATTAAACCTGCTGGGTTCAGAATTCAACAAAAGACAGTTTCTTTTCTGATTTTTACTTTAATTTTATTAAAAACCAACACAATATTAAAATGCCAAAGAAAAGTTTTTCTGAAGCAAAACCAAAGCTAAAATAGCAGTATTTTAGAAACAGCACATTTCAACAGGACTGAAATCCTTCCCCCTTCTTATTTTCTTTAACCAAAGTGCTGACAAAATCAATACATTTTCTGAAGTGTTTCATTTTGACCAAATTTGCATGTGCTGGTAGAATAATGGATCCACTAAAGTGATTATAAGTGGCTGAGGCTGAATGCTTTGTTTCTTCTAAGGCCTCTACAAGACTACTGAGACTGACTTAGTCCTTCCTGAATAGAGAAATTATTCCAATAAAGACAGAAAGCCCAAACCAAACAACACTAACATTGTTGTAACTGTCATCCAGAAAGGTGAGAGGTGTCTGGTAAGAACATATTACACAGCCAGAAGTTAATGGGTACAGCCTACACCAGGCAGTGTATTTGGTATTCTCCACAGCACCATAAGAAGGATAGAAATGGAAGAAAAGGTGGATTGTCTAGAGACAAAGATGCATACTGTGTATGAGGAATGAGTTTTCTGACTGGAAGCTGACTGGAAGCTCGTGAATGTTGTCCCCATTTTCAAGAAGGGCAAGAAGGAGGAGCCCAGAAACTCCAGGCCTGCCAGTCTCACTTCAGTGCCTGGTAAAGTTATGGAGAAGATTATTCTGGGAGGTATGAAACACACCTGATGGACAACGTAGTCATTGATCACACCCAGCACGGTCTCATGAGAAGAAAGTCCTGCTTATCAAACCTGATTTCCTTTTATGAAAAAAAAAAGTTGATCAAGGGCAGCCAGTTGAAGTAATCTTCTTGGATTTCACTAAAGCTCTCCATAGTGTCTCTCACAGGATCCTCCTGGTCAAAATGTCCATCACACAGCTGCATAGACACATCATGTAGTGGGTGAGCAATTGGCTCATGGGTTGAGCACAGAGGATGATAGTGAATGGGGTGACATCAGACTGTTGACCTGTTGCTAGTGGGGTTGCACAAGGCTCCTTCTTAGGCCCTGTGCTCTTCGACATCTTGATAAATGACTTGGACGCAGGACTGGAAGAGACACTGAGCGAGTTTGCAGGTGACACAAAATTGGGAGGAGCTCTTGTCTCCCTCAGAGGCAGGCAGGCCCTGCTGAGAGACCTCGACAAATTACAGGACTGGGCAATCACCAACCACATGAATTTCTATGAAGGAAAGCACCAGATTCTGGATCTGGACTGGGGCAAACCCAAATGTACATAGAGACTGAGGAATGAGATACTGGAAATCAATGCTGCAGAAAGGGACTTGGGGGTCCTGGTCAGTGGCAGTGGAATAAACAGTGCCCTGGCAACCAGGAGGGCCAACTGTGTCCTGAGGGGCATTGGGCAAAGCATCACCAGCAGGTCAAGGGAGAGGATTGTCCCGCTCTGCTCTGCACTGGGGCGGCCTCCCCTGGAATCTTGTGTGCTATTTTGGGCACCGCAATAGAAGAAAGATATTGAGTTCTTCGAGAGTGTCCAAAGGAGGGCAACAAGGATGGTGAAGGGCCTTAAGGAGAAGCCATAAGAGGAGCAACTGAGAACATTTTGTATGTTCAGCCTCGAGAAGAGGAGGCTGAGGGAAGACCTCATCACATTCCACAACTTCCTCCTGAGGGGAAGAGGAGGGGCAGACATTGTTTCTCTTCTCTGTGGTGACCAGTGACAGGACCCAAGGAAATGGCCTGAGGTTGTGTCAGGGGAGGTTTAGGTTAAATATTAGAAAAAGGTTCACAGAATCACAGAATATTCTGAGTGGGAATTCTTCACCCAGAGGGTGGTTGGGCACTGGAACAGACTCATCAGGGAAGTCACATCACCAAGCCTGACAGAGTTCAAGAAGCTTTTGGATGATACCCTCAGGCACATAGTGTGACTCTTGGGGATAGTCCTGTGCAGGACTAAGAGTTGAACTCGATGATCTTTGTAGGTCCCTTAAAACTCAGCATATTCTGTGATTCTGTGACTCATGTATGGAAAAGCCAAGCATTTTCTGCAGGATGTATCAGCTCCCTGCTCCTGTTTGTGTTAATAACAAGCTGATTTCAGTCTGGGCAAGCAGGAAGAGCAACTACACTGTGTTGGGATGAAAGGGTGGTCCTGTTTGGGGAAGCTGGATTTCTCTGTGAGGTTCTGTGTTGGAAGAGGAAGAAAGGAAGGGATGGAGTCAGCTGCAAGGGACAAGTCTAAGGGAGGTTGGAGCACACACAGGTGCGTATTCCTGGTGAAGTCACTGGTCTTCATATTTTGAGGTATCAGCCCTCACCCAAATATGTGCTCTTACTCTTTTCTTCTCCCTCTCATGTCCCTGCATGCAGACTTTGTTGACTTGAGTCAGCAAAAATGCCAATTGGGACTATTCGTGAGTCTCTTCTATGGACTGTGTTGCCTAGTTCATCACTGTTTAATCAACATCTGAGCAGAGATGCTGGTTCCATTCTACCTTTAAAATCTGCACTGGAACAGAAGATGCCAAACTGTGTATGGACTCTTTTCCAAATGAGTAGACAAGAGGAAAAGAAAACAGTTGGCATCTCTTGAGATGTGGTCCATTTCCACACAAAACCCTGGTACAGTATTCCAGGAAATCAGAACAGGCCACAGAGTGCTGGCTGTCCTTAAAATAAAGACAGATTCATAGCAGGTGACTCCTGTGTTCCCACTAGTTCACAAATATTTTGTTTAGCTACACAGACTCCCTGGAAGTGGCAAGTGTGTTGGCAGGTCAGAGGACCTGCTGTTGGGTTATATCACTGTTATGAGAGTCCTGCTGCTAAGGAGCTTTGAGTTGTACCCCATGCTGAGAATAGTCTAAATAATCTATGACTCAAAGCATCTCTCATCAGGGATCACTGTGAACACAGGCAATTTCAGCTGACCCAACTAGCCAAACACAAACATGTCAAGATCTCAATAGCACCAGAACATTTGTTTTCAATATCCTGAGTGTGAAATCAGGGCCAATGGGCAACATTTATTTGGTAATAGTTTTGTTTGCCAGATGTTTCTTTCTCTAATTTTACTGCAGAGCATATACAAGTATGTGCTGGAATTAAAATGATGATAGGGAAGAACACAGTAGCCAACTCCTGGTTTATTGCAGAGGCATAAACTAAAATGATTTCCAGGACGAAAGCCATTACTCCAGATTTGCACGGGTGTGAGATGTGAACCCAGCCCATTCTCTCAAGGGAACATCTTTTGTAAACAAATAAATTAACCTAGAAACTCTTTAAAATTAAGTTTTGAGAGCGGTAGGGCAAGAGGGAGCATGGACTGTAAAGCTCTCCTCTACTTCAGGCTGGAAGTTGTGTCTTCCAGAGGGGAAAAAGCAAAGAGCACCTCACTAACGACTGCCTCAGGTGTTGAGTCTGACCATGATCCTTCTGAAACTGTCACGAGCCCAGAGGGAACCACAGCCTGCAGTAGACACCCAAAATGAAGAATACAAAGAGATAAAACTGCAGGTGAGATGAGTCACGGAGCTGCACCATTCAGGACCTTGGCAAGGCTCCTAAACCCTACACCCTCCTCAGCTATACCTGTAATGCACTGCAGGA